TCGAATGCACAAAAGGGTGCATTGCTGGTACTTTGGAGACGTTATACGAGTTGTCAATGCTTAGAAGTTCGATCGACTAGACATCGCCCCCTCTCCGCCAATGAATTTCGGTTTTAAAACACAGACCGATCATCTTACGGGCCAGGTTTTGGCGAAACGAACACTGCGGTTGTGAATCCCTGAGGGAAGTACCTGCTTCAGATTGGGCAATTGGGTTGGATTGCACCCATGAATTGATCTATCATACACAGATTCATGTATCACAAGCGGCCTGATTACCAAAAGATGATAAAACAAACGATTGATGCATCAATGCATTCACATTTTCGTCAAAGATCAACAACGGATAGCGACACAAAAGCTCCCTGATGCAACTGAGACATCGAGAACGTTCCTTTTTCTAGTTACCCTCTAGGTCAAGTTTCGAGTAGAATAAGAATACTTCTTGATCGACCGTAGATCGAACAGATGCGTTGTCACACGAACCCAGTAGATGCACGTGAGTTGGAGAATAAACGAGTTGAACTGATTCACAGAATACCCAAATTAGACGATCTAGATGAATCAAAATGCCAAAAAACGACTGTAAAGAATGGGGGTTCCTTCAAGAACTGATCGGATGCCATAATCGTTTTATCAACTCAATCAGCTGACTTCCATACTCAGCAAACTACCGTGAAAACTCCCTGGCGATTATGAACGTAACCCTCGGTACCCCGATCAGTCTTGCAGGCATGGTAAAAAATGGAAGAGGACCACCAGAATTAGGCCGAAGATCACTGTTGAATAGTGAGGTGAAACGGTGTTCGCAGTTAGAAAGCAGGGTTAACAGGTTACCTGTTCCGAGCTAAATTCCACTTTCCTCTCCTTCTTCGTGAGCCCATAGCAATAGAACCGATTCCCTCAGAAACCACTGCTAGCCGACCGCAGAGTGGACGGCATATATCACAATTCGAGCCTTAGCGGATACCTAAACCGACACCCTCTAACCTGTTTATACACGAACACACAAAAGGCTTCCATAGCGAATTTCCCGAAGTGCAACTGCGTTTGCAAACTAGTCAGTGGGATCTTGTTGCAATTCCCGAAACTTGGCTGACTGCTCGCGCATGAAACTGCCTGATTAATAGCTGTAAAAATTGAACTGAACTGAAGACTGTGATGATTCCATCTTTAAGACTCTTCCATGGAGATGTTCCACTGCCATTGGGACCCCGTGCTACTTCATCCTTTTATTCGATGTGAGGTGTGCAAACAATTGACCAAACGCCATTCGCAACAACAGCATACCAGTTTAGCGAACGCGTACCAATCAGACAGGGGCTGGATTGATCACGGGAATCGGTCAAAAATACGTTTATTTGACCATAAGTGATCCACCATCTCAATCTAAAGTTGGACATTGGCTGGGCGTATGCACATTTTGCCACGAGTTAAAAGCGAGGATGAAGTCAGAATGAAGTTTGACAATCCTGTTTCCAGTGTTTCATCTGTTTCTTTTCTTGTTTGTTCATTTTATGCTCCTATTTTTTCCTCTTTTCCCGAGGAAATTACTGCCTCACTGCGTTTCTACACGTTATTTTAGCACAGTTTCAGGCAAAAAAGACACCTGGTGATCAAGTACGACGACCTTTATCGTCCAGAACTAGGAAAAAAAACACCCACTAACTTGGTTTAAGAAAGCCGTCACCAAAGTCTCGAGCAGCTTCACCTACGAATTTTCGTCGTTTTTTTTTTGAGGACGCTTAATTTTTATTTATATAGAAACCCCCACCAACATTATGTTAATGGTCTCGGGGATTGGCTTCAGTCCTTGAATGTTTATTCATTCTACGTGAGTTAAATAGATTTCATTTGCGATGGAAATCCCTGTGAAAACAGGCAATGGACAGCTATTTCAGAATTTCATGTGAGTAATGGAGGATTTGGTTAAATTTCAAATGTGAATTCGTCGTGTAGATAGCAAATGAAGCGTGAACTGAAAAGCTCGGAAGCACTGGACAGCTGT